AATTAAAATAAATTATAGGTTGAAAACAACATTTATCGCAAAAGGTTTTGGCACCACCTTCCACCTTTGCAGACATGTGTAATCTAATTTATACATATCTGTTTGCCTCAGTACCTTAGAGTTAGTTACCTGAATAATAATACATTTATATATTTACCAATAAAAAAATTCTTTAATGATCAGGATTGGTAAATTTTAAAAAGTACGGCTACTGATAAATATTTAGGCACATTAGAACAGATATTATTATACATGCAAATTGTCTACTATAATACTCTTATTTTTCCAATTGTTTTATTATTATTTTTTTTAATGACCTCAGTTTTATAGTGTGAGTGATCACCCTGAATAAATAATGAAATTGTAGGTTTCTACCAGCAAACTCTTGACAAAAACGTACTGACTAATCTTTGATCTAGTTCTCTAATACGAATTTCGTTTAAAATCTAACAAAAAAATCAATTAAAAGCTTTACAACACAACAGATTTTTCTGAATTATACTCAGTTTCCTATGTTTCATCAACAATAATTACACTAGTTTACAAATAATAACTTGTTAAATATACATTTAATCAAATTATTATTTTTATGTTTATTTACCTTTAATTAAACAAAAAAATTGTTAATTTTTTTATAACGTCACAGTTTTTTGTTACAAATGATAAATTTTCCTGCATTCTGCCTCCGATTTAAAATTTATTTAAAATTCAAATTGTAGCTGAATTATTGCAAAATTATCACCAGATGGGTCTAAATGGGTCTTAAAATACATTTCATTGACTGTAATTTGGACTCATTTTCTAAAAATGAGTGAGGAACAAGACGAGCGTTTTCATCAAATATCGCCACAAAAGTTTTCAAAAGTTTTTAAAACGAAAATATGTTAGGAGATTACTGATGGGCTGTTTTAAAAAAAACTAATACAAAAAACTAGAAAAAATAAAGTAAAATAACTTATTTTTAATTTGTTTGGCGATTTTTGTATTTTTGTTAATTACACGTTTCTTAAACGTGACGTGATAGACTTTTTTGAATATTTTTTTTGAACTCAGTGCTTCGAAATCTAAAAAAATATAACTTTCAACTAAGGTATAGAAATTGTGTAAACTAGTGTTATCAACAAAAATTGATACCAATCTCTTTTTTTATTTAGGTACTATCCAATAAAATAAACATTACAGTTTCGCCACTGCAAATGTCGGGGTTGAAATTCTATTAGCATACGTATTTTGGTCTTTAACACCCTTGTAAAATGTTTAATTCGCTTAATCTTTTTAATCGATGAATCCACACGGTTATTTCCAGCTGAATATTTTTGCAATAAAGGTGTTCAAGTTGATGAAATATGAAAAACACGTAGACCTGTTCAAATTTAAAATAAACGTTTAAATTCCAAACAATTTGATTGGAAAAATAAACCCGTCATGTGTGAAACACATCCTGGACATTTATGATGTCGTCATAATTGGCCTAATAAATAGGGAATATCCTAATAAAAAAAGATAACGTCTTTTGATGGTAGAAAAGTAATCCTTGTTGGATATAACTTGGTGACTGGTCACATTCCAAAGCTACAGGTATTTCCTTTGTGGCCGCTTACTCGGCTCTTAGGCTGTGCTAACTACCCGAGATAACACGGAGGTAACGTCACAGTCTGACACATCGCTGGCTTTTATTATGCAAAGGTCATATGCACTTTTCGACGACTAAAAATTCAGAGTGTATCTGACGTTAATTTGCCTTTCATTTAAATCCTTTGACTATCGCATTTGATACTTTAATAACAAAACTGTCTCAAACACTTGATCGAAAAGCTTATAAAAGAAAACGATTTTACCTGTAAGAAAGCACGAATTTCAGGCTCAATTTAAAAAAATCTTATTCAATTAGAATTAATTAAGCCATCTTGACCGTAATTTCGTCCTTGCTCTAACATGCAATACTTTAATAAAAATGACCTCGCAGCAAAAGCAACCATTTGTGACTCAACCATAATAAAAGAAAAGTTTTTCGAGTTATCCATTAGCTTACTTTCATTTGGGCATTGTTTCGCTCTTTTGTCATTCGTTTTAATCATTTCCGGCCCACCTATGCTTCTGGGTGTACCCGATATTTCCGCTTTGTGAATTGATTATCGATTCGTTGTTAAAAACTAAAATTGTTTAAAAATTCACAAAAAATCAACAAAGCCAAAAAGAATTTATAATGAAAAGTTGGAGCAATAATTATCAACGTTTGAAGCTTTTTACTCTCGATAGTTACACAGCTATTATCTCAAATACCTGTTAAAGCAAATAGAATGGTAAAAAACAAATAATAATAGTTCAAGGACAGTGTTACTCAAGATAAAGTAACTAATCTATCACTGTGATAATTTTGGCCCCAATCCAATTAAATCCCCATTCATGAAATGCGGTCACCGACTCGCGAAACCCAATCAGTAAGTGCAATCTGTCTCATGTCTTTAAATTTTACAAGTCGTTAATTTTCGGCATATCTCTAATCTTAAACTAACGAAAATAAACCATTCGGAAGCACGCCATCGCCAGTTTGATATCTTACAACTGCAAAATTAAAAATATTCTTTTACTTCAAATAAATAACCCCAGACAAGGTTAGCTTATCAACGTCAAGTCGATTGTAGCAGGAATTACTCTTCCATATACCTAACCGTTTATTTTTATTTACCTTTAAACGAATAAATTTTGAATTGGGAACTAAGCCATGTGTTTTGTTTTGAACGACCACCCTGAATTTGGTCATAAATTAACACATGAAAACAATCGACGGTCAATTTAACTCGATTTGTTGGATGTTAGTAAAGTAATTTAAATTTTCAACTTTAGAGCGTAATGGGTTTTTGTAATCAAAATGCATATCTGCATAATTGTATGTAGAACGTTGTGTAAAACAACAGATTTGTTTTATCCACCGCCACTGCTTTAATTTATACATTTTGCCCCTATAACCTATTTATTTCAAAGCTAAATTCACGAAATATAATCGATTTCTTTAAAAAAAATGTGTTCTTAATTGTTCTTATTTGTGTTATAAAAATGACTTTGCAGTTGCTATTTTTGCTCTTGAAATTTTTAAACACCTATAAATAGAATTAAGAAAAAGTAGCACGCAAAGATGTGAAAAAGTTACTCTGTAAACCATAATAATTAATAAGATAACAAGAGTTTAATGATTGTTAGATCAACAATTCCAACAGCGCGTCATTTCGTAGGAATCGTAGTAATATGTAAGAAAATAGCTATAAACGAAAAACTTTTCTTGAGAGAATAAGTAATTTCTTGTAATTTTAAATAGTCATAAATTATTTATAGCGTAAGTGCATTAAGCGATTAGAAGCAACGTAGCTTCAAATTATTTCTTAATTAACATTCGACATAATTAGTTTATAGTCGAAGGAAGGTTCTAAATTTGTAGGATTGCAATTTTGGGTCAATATACTAGTCAATGCTAGAAAATTATGTCAAAAATATTTTCGATTAGAAAATTTGTAATGAAGCAAATTTAAAACTAAAAGAGCCACATTTAAACCAATTACCACAATTTTTATTCTAGAGGGAGAGTTGTTACAGGACCATTAAAAATAATCGAATTTTATATTTTTTTTTTACATTAAATATGTATTGTTAAAATCTTATTAACTCTCACACTTAACTTCCTTTAACTCACTTTTAATTTAAGACCAAAAAAGTGGTCAAATGTGCGGGCAGAAGAGTTCAAAGAGACCATAAAAATTCAAAAAAAACTCCCACCAAAAACTAATTTAAAAGCTGTTTTAAGAAGTGATATGCTAGTGTTGAAAAATGTATAATTATAATAGCAAGTCAAAAGCAATATTTTGAAAGAACTAAATTAAATTTTGTTAAATTGTTCAATCACGGTATTTACTGATCAAACCTCGTACACTTATTTTGTGAAAACACATGATGATAAAATAATAAAGAATCCATTTATAATTTCGCTGGTGTAGATAACTAAGAACGTCGACTATAATAAAATCAGAAGCAAAAAGACGAACTATTCTGTCAGCAACTCTACTCTTGCAATTTAAAAAGATTTAAACGACAGCTAGCTGATGTGGAGATTTTCATTATTACATGTGGCTTTTATTAACTTAAAATATTACGTGGAAAATAACACCAAAGCAAAAAAATTCAATTTCTATTTTTAGTCGCGATAAAGGCGACAAAACGAGTTAAATACATTAAAGTCGGATTTGCAAAAATTAAAACTAAAACGAAAGTCTAAATTTTAGTACGGTAGCGCATTCTGATGCAATGCACTTTCTTCTCTCTATCAATTATAAAGAACATTTTCAACACTGATACAGATTCAACTCAAATACCAAATAATTTCTGCATTAAACCATTTAAATACCATTCTGTGAAAGTATTAAAAACCTGACGCTGAAATTCTCTCGTTTTAATTGCATTTTTAATGGAGCACTGCAGTGAGGTAACTTACTTATGGCAAGGCCGCCAATTACCAAGAGTTTATCTAAAATGGGAATTTTAACTTATTAAAACACCTGAATATAATAATTAACATCATTAAGACTGAATAACAATACAAACGATTCAATTATTTCTGGTAACTCAAAAATACTTTCTTTTCTGGATCCATAGATTATTTCACAACTCTCATCATTGAAATACGAATGGTGACCAATTTCAGGTAAAAATATGGTACAACAGGTAAGAAAAGTGTTTTATTGATCCCAGAGAGCTAAATGTGCAAGTGAAAAAAAAGTATGCACATATTTATGCTCTTGGAGTTTTGTATTTATTTTGATGAGACAGCACCTCACCTAAATTAATAATTGCCTTTCTATGAGGCCAATTAATTTTGAATAATGAGTTAACAAAGAAAGCAATGGCAATTTGCTAGAATAAAGTGGTAACAATAACAAACGAACGTGAAGCAATAAAAACCATAGCAACATGGATTTAACACTAAAGAGTAATAAAAGTTTTCTACTCACCAGCTAAAGCATCGTGAGGAACACTAGCTAAATATACAATAAATAAATAAGTTTTAATCCCTAAAAACATGTGTCGTGTTTTCCGTTCCTTCTCTTCCATTGTGCACCTCTTCACCAACATTTTAATAGTTTCGTCCAGTCTAACAAAAACAGGTGAAAAGTTGGGAAACTCACTTTGATTTTACATTGTGATGCACTTTTTCACTTCATTTTTAACACCACGGACCGTAAAACGGCTATCGGCATCTCACCGATACCACCTGTAGATGCAGTAACAAACGCACCGTTAACTTTTACATAGCCGTCCCCTCTCTTGTAATAGACATAATTATAAAATCATTTCGCAGATCTTTTGATTACTAATCGAAAGATTTGGTTTCGATAAGTTGATAAAGTTTTGAATTGAATTTTTTGTTGTGCGCGTCTTTTCGAACGAAGACATTTAACGACGTGCTACGCACACCACCGCACAAACATACAACAAAACTTTTACGGGAATAATCCCCGCTTTTATTATCCAAACGACGCTAGGTGGCGCCACGTAATGGTCACAGGGTCGCCAACAGGAGAAAAGTAAAAGCTGATTTGCTTATCAGTTTGATAAAAAGAGAACAATTTCGATAGTGCGGACTATCAAATATCTTATTCCACTCATGTACTCAGAAAGGTTAATTTGTTTTTAGAGCACATACTCGTTTAAAATTTAAAAAGATGAGGAAAATTGCTTTTTCTCCCTTGATCGTAATATGCATTCCTTATTAGATAAAAAAAAAGTTCCTCAAGTCAAGAAACAAAAAGCTTTATTGCGCGTATTTTTTATATAATTTATAATTCATGCGAGTTTCGTTAGTTGGTACAGTTGGAGACAAAATACTTTGGTCGTCACTTTTCTGACACTTTAATGTAATTCAAGCTTTAACGTTAAAATGAATGACAATTTCAAATTAATGACAGCTATTATATTTTTCTATCAAAAATATGTACAACTTCTCAACTGTGATTGACAGTAGCTAAAAATAAAGTTAACAGTCCTAAAGCATGCTTTACAATTTAATGTCACTCAAGTGACATTGACGACCAAAGTATTTTGTCTCCAACTGTACTTTTATAGTTTGTAAAATGGAAAGTCGTAAATGAAAAAGTTTTACTTTATTGATTTTGAATAAGTAAAATTTATTATTTAAAAACAATTTTTCTAATACAGTGGCAGATATGGAATTTGGGACATCAAATTTATGTCTGTTCAAAAAATGTCAATGTAAGCCACGCTTTATTGTCATTAAAATTGACATTTGAAACTAAAATTTGAAAGTTATAGTTGAAATTTATTTTCTTCGTCGATTTTCCGAAACAATAATGCCTGCAATACGTACGTATTTTTATATAAGTTCAATAAATTATTTTGATTTGTTGTCCTTTTTTCTCTAGCTATCACTATCAGAGTAAATATTACAAAAACCGAAAGTGAGGTTAGTTGCCTAAGGCCTGTTTTACATTTTTATGTCAGTCGAATGACAAATATACAATACCATTTGTGGAAACATTTGTAAAAAAAAATGTGTGGATGTGTGACACAAAATAAAATAACAATTAAACAAAAAATAATTAAAATAAAAATCAATTTCCTATCAAATACTTATTTTTGATCATAGAATATTAAAAAAACTTCTGATGCAAAACGCATATAAAAGGATAAAAGAAGTTGCGGATATTTTTGTTAACAGAGTTTAAATTTAGCGCGACAAAAAGATCGGTTAACCGGTCGGTAAAACAGGTTTCACTTCCTTTTCGTGTGTATTTCATGAGCGTGAGCTGCTCTGCAGAAAACACAAAATAAACCACAGGTAATCAAAGTTTCTTGAAATCATCCACTACTTAAAACAAGCCTAAAATCTTCTGCAATCTTTATTCTATCCTCCACAATTCATATTATCACTATTTTGGACGTAAAATCTTGAAAAAACCGTATTGGTTGACAAGTCAACTGACAGGTTACTCACATTGTGACATTACCACCCAAATTTTGAATGAGATTTGAATGTTTTTTACCACTTGCAGTTTCATAAACTTAATTGCAACAATAATGGAATTTTTTACGTTATTGTTTTAATTTTTTTTGTATACTAAGGGTAAATATTCTAACTTAACCTCAATTTTTATTGCAGAGATGGTGCGGATGAACGTTTTGAGTGATGCACTCAAATCCATCAATAATGCCGAAAAACGGGGTAAAAGGCAAGTTTTGATTCGTCCATGCTCCAAAGTCATTATCAAATTTTTAACTGTAATGATGAAGCATGGCTACATTGGTGAATTTGAGATTGTTGACGATCACAGAAGTGGGAAAATTGTGGTAAATTTAACTGGTAGACTGAATAAATGTGGAGTTATTTCGCCAAGATTCGATGTTCCGATTACACATATTGAAAAGTGGACGAACAATTTGTTACCTTCACGTCAGTTTGGGTAAGTTTTTGAAATCTTAAAATGTGAGGTTTTATTTACTTTCTTTGTGTCAGGTATGTTGTATTGACCACAAGCGGGGGTATTATGGATCACGAAGAAGCCAGAAGGAAACATCTGGGAGGAAAAATTCTTGGATTTTTCTTTTAATGTAAAGTTATTTAATAAAGTTACAACTTTATAAAAAGTGATTTTATTCAATCCCAGTAAGTAGGTGGAAGCCTTTACTTTTATTTAAAAGACAATACATTAGTTACACTATCTAAAAAACAAGAGAAAATATTAAAACCTTACCGCTAAAACTACAAAAAATACACTTTGTTTTATTTACAGTCTTGGCTTTACTAAGATCAATACTGAATCACAAAAAAACTCTGACTCGAGAAAAATTGCACAATTTGAATGAATACAATTTTGTACTTCAAAGATAAATCTACGCACACTGTTTCAACTAATTCTGATTTTTTAACCTCATAAAAACTGAAATAAATAAAATACTTCACTGATCATTCACGACTTTATTTGGTACAAGAATATATCCGTGATTTTCAAACTATCTGACTTTATCAGAACTATGCAAAACCTTCGCGACAATTAAACCGACTGCCGTAACTGCCGCTAAACTTAATCCCGCCTTCCACCACGTCCTCGTATCTGTAGGAAGTATTCCGAATTCTCGCAAATTCCTAAGAAAGACACAAATAAGAGAATTACTAAAATAGCAAGCTTTTACACAAACATGCACAAAGCTAGAAATGAAAAAACAAGCAACATGCGATAATAATTATTGTTATTTCATACAATGCATCAAAATTTATTCTAGCTAGCACAACAAGGTTTTTTTTTAATTTTATTAGTATCACAATGGTTGCTGATATTAGTAAGTAAACAAAAACATTCGTAAATGTATAAATTGTAGCAACCTGTAAAACTGATTAAACCATTCTGATGGTTGTGGGCGCAACAGTAACATATGAACCATGCGGCGTAAAGGACTGCAAAAAAATAAAAGAAACTCTTAACAAACTGTATTACAAGGGCCAATCGCAACCATTTAAGCCTTAAACCGGTGGCTAAAGTGACTACGATACTACGAAGAAACACTAAAAGGCTTAAGACAAGTTCCCTACAACAGTATGTCTTCTGTTACAAACCTGAAAGGTTTAAATTCTTACATTACGGCCCAGCAAACATTACAATTGCAATAATTTCACTTGGTAATTAAACGGTGAAATTAAATTTCTAAATACATAATTTGCTAAAGTTATAACAAAAGTACAGGATGTTTGCGGATTGCGAGCAAATATTTTAACCACTAGAAGAACTCATCAAACAACTTTTCTATTTCCAACTTACTTTTGCCAAAAACAGGTCGTTTCTGAGTTAAAATTAAAAATAAGTTGAAGCTGAAAACCCGTCTCCGCTTATGTTTTAATAATAATACATTCGTTTAAAAAAACAAAATCATGGAACGTAAACAGCGTAAAGGAGGCTTGTGTTCGCAAACAATCCTTCGAGGGTATTAATTTGAGCTGCGTACACTAATTGTTTCATGTGACCCCACAAAAAAAATCACACGGAGTTTATAAACCTGGTGATCGCGGTGGCAATGCAATTAAACCTCGCCAATCCATCTTTCGGGAAAATGGTTGTTCAACTATTTAATGATGATTGTGGCATAATGTCGTGAAGCTCCATTTTGTGAATACTACATGTCCCTCCGTGTCGCTACAGGCACGTCCTCCACCAAATCGGCCAAGACATTTTCGAAAAAAATCCAGATAAGCGGCACTAGTGGGAAACTGTGGGGTCCAAACAGGTGATCTTCAATGATCTCAGCCCAAACATTTAGTGATTTTTTTTGTGCACAAAGTTATCCCTTTTTTCTGCACAAAAACTTTCACGGTCAAATTCAGTACAAATTATTTTCATTGATATTTTTACTTCCACCTAACAAGTACAGACACACTGAGCGGCTCGTTAAAATAATGAGGGGAAAATTGCAAAAAAAAAATGGATACGGAATTTGTTTGGTCTTCAAATTGCCTTCTCATAATAAATAATTTTAGTGATTATAATAAATGCTCGCAATCCACAAAGCATCCTGTGTAAGTTTGGAAAACTTTTTTATTGTATAAAAACCACTGAAAGCCTTATTTATGATCCAAGATAAAAAAAAACAAAATTAATAATACAGGGTATTTCACATAATTTTACGAGGCCTGCACCTGTAAGGTACAATCAATAATACAAATTCCGATACGAACTCGATTACAAATTTTGAAAAATTGGAATTGTTGAAAAATTGTGCACCCTTTTAAAAATTACAACATTTTTAGTTAGTTAGTAATTAAGATAGGTAAACTAGAATCATATTTAATAGAACAAATGATAATTGTTTCTGAAAAACTGAAGTTTATGACCATTTATGAAACAGTGATTAGTTTGACAACTACTGTCATGGGTTTCCAAAATTTAAATAATTAAATCTGTATTTTTTGTATCTAGTGTTTTGTGAAGTTTGTATATTGGGGTGCGTACATTGGGCGCAAGCCTCGTAAAGTTGTGTGAAACACCCTGTATTAATTAACAAGAATGCATTCGGAAATATACTATGGAATATAACGAATTCTTGATCTTCGAAAATAATAAAACATTGGAAAATTAATTCTTTAAAGCTACTTAAAGGTCTGATAAACCCACATTAACTTTTGAAAATTCGAACAAAATACGGTTTCGTTGATTTTCTTTTTTTAATCCATCAATACCATCTCAATTCACTCTATAGTGCAAATATTCAAGAATATAAAAACGTAATGAAAGTGCATTAGCAAATGAAAAGTTAATAGAAGAAATAAATCGCCGTTAAATCTGAATGGAATTGCTATTTTTTATTAAAAATAAACTTAGTTTCATTTCAATCAGTGAAAGATAAAAAAGAGAATCTTAATATGCATATTTTTTATTATCGATTTTTCTATAAATACTTGCTTCTGTGTAGCACACATTTAAAAAAACAAACTCAAAAAATAATATATGAAAGTACTGTCCAACTTTCTAAAAACTGATTATTATTTTCAAAACCATTGAACAATTTAGCAAATCCAATATTTTTTGAGGTAAATAATTATTACATCCAGTCATAGGAACTAACAAAAACGGAACTGAAAAATGGAGAAACATTTAGAAACCTATATTTTTTTATTACTATGACAATATTGATGCAATTCGAGGTAAACACTGGAGTAAACTACTTAATAGGTAGATCATTTGTAGTATAAATACTACTAAATAATATCGGTTACTTTGTATTTTTCCTAAATCAAGCGAAAATTTCTACCTACAACTGTGTAATTAAAATTACGCTAATCATCCCAAAATTTTTGATAAAACGACAAATTAAAAATTTGGAAATAATTTGCTGCAATGCGATAGGTATACCAAACTAAAAACAAATAAACCAATTAATAAGACGACCACAATTTACATTTTTAAACATTTAAATGTCGAACATTACTTCAATGCGGTTTAACTTTCTTTAATTAAGAATTCAAATAACAACCAACCTGTGTTTGTAGAACAAAATCCAAGCTGCTTGAAACCGACTAACCCAAATTTTATTATCCCCAAACATCCCCCACAATATACTTACGGGAAAGCAGCCATTGTAGCCAACTTTACAAAAACATCCTTCCTCATGTGACCTTTAACTGAAAAATTCTGAGGTGGCAGTATTTTATATTTTTGACAAAACGTGAGCGGTTGTAATAAATACTCTTGTTTTACTTCTTCCAAATCGCTTTTACACGCGACTACCAGAACTGGTATTTTACTCTCGGCAAAATATTTCTACGGCACAAAAAAATTAAATAAATAAGATCGGAAATACGAAAACCAGACGTACAATATAAATACGTGCGATATATTCAAACGACTTGGGATTGTTGTTGTCATAGACCAAACAAGCGACATCACATTGGACCTCATGAGGCAATAAAGGGTCAGACACGTTCCTCACATTAATGTCACGTAGCACCATTATTTTTTCTTGACCGTAGACCTGTACGACATTAACTGTACAAGTGGGCGTTCCTGTATTTTCCAAGTGAGGACTTTTTTGCTAAAAGAAAACAAGTTGGCAATAAATAATATTATTATTGCCACTGTATACTTCAGTAGGCGACCTAATAAAACTCCGACAAAAACTCGACTTTCCCGCGCCCATTGGACCAATCACGTGACACTGATACACATTTCTGCTCGACTGTTTTTTCGCCAAGTCGATTTTCTTTTCTCTCGTGACTGAAAACAACGAAATGTGACTTGAATCCAATTACGGAAAATTCTAATACCTTGTACAGCCGTTACTTGACTTTCATTCTCATATATGTTGTAACCTAAATAAGCTAAATACTCGAAAGTTCTTGGGAGGTCTACTAGAGTCATTAGAGCCCATTGACACATATAACCCTGATATGTGATCCAACCTTTTTCGTTGGTTGATACCATTGCACTTACATCAGGGGGCCACGCAGGAGTCGGACAAGTCGAGAAAAGTTCAGTGTATTCCGAGGGTGATAACGCATGGTCGCGGTCTTTATCAAACCTTTCGAATATATGGGTCAAAAATTGGTACCCTTTATGAGACAATTCCGTGGTACAACCTGATGGTACCTTCAGACTATAATAACCATAACGCACAATTTCATAATTAATTAATTAATTTCTAACTCACTTTGGAAATAAATATTCTTTACACATATTTAAGTTGTCATTATAACCAAACTTCCTTAAAACGGTCCAAGTTGTCTCATTGCGCCCCCTTTGTATGAAAAGTGTGTGTAAATACAAGAAGCCCTTCAATGTAACGCAATTATGACTGACGCCATCGTCTATATTCTTTCTCAAGACGGCTTTGACATCATCAAGGACTTGAGGTTGTAAAGGGGCATTAAAACACCGACTTTGAAAATTATTCAGTTCAATGTCATTCAAAAGGCCGTCACAGTCAATATCGCAGATTTTGAATATCCGAATTAAAGCTTTTTTGCATGCTTCAGTCAGCTACAATTTAGAAATATGTAAAGTGGGCTATGTGTGACGTACGTCAACTTACGTCGGCCTTTTCAACAGAATAAATAGGAGGCGTTGGATGAAGCACCGCTTTCTGTGCATAGTAAAACATTTCCGAGATATTTTTCAGGGTTTTCGCTGAACACTCTATACAAGTTTCGATTTCTGAAAATTCATCCATAACTTGGAAAACTCCCTAAAATTATAATTGTAGATGACGTGAAACTTGGATCAATATCGTACGTCAATTGTTGAATAGTCCACAAGGTCGATTTTGTTCCCCACAAGGACCACAGGGCAGGGTTTGTCTGGGTGGTTTTGCCGGATAAGGGGCATCCAATGAGAGGAAATTCTGTCAATACTGTCATCATCATCCACGGCGTAAACAACACAAATAACGTTGGCTTTCTTAATTTGCTCATTTAGTTGTTCCTCGCTTTGTTCCGCCGCTGAATAATCGACGATATTCGTGGGGACTTGCTCTGGGGTGACATCGGCCGGGATTGTAATTTCCTCCGCTTTGCTTGGGACATTTTCCGGAAACTCTTCGCTGACTAATGAGAGGATTAACGAAGTTTTGCCAACACCGCGATCACCAACTAGGAGGATCCGAACGTTGCGTTTCATCTGGATTTTAACAACCATCTTAGACTGAAAATGAGGTTATGTCATCTCTATTTGGCCTTTGCCTGTTGTTATTAGATAACGTTTAAATTTATTAATGGAAGATTTTCGCCTCTTATCTTGATAAAATCAAAACAAACTGCAAAAATACTCACTTTTTTATCAGGGCCGGATTTTGACACTTTGTCACTTACACAACAAATAACACCCACATTACTGTAAATTTACTAAACACAACCGAAGGTACTCAAAGTCTAAATAAACTGGGTGTCTTTTGAGCCCCGTTTGTAAACAATTTTTACCGAAACCTCAAACTTCAATGAACAAATGTCAAATTTGACGCGTGCGTGACGAGATTGGCACGTAATTTAATTACTCGCTGGTTTACAGGAATTGCTTTATTTCAAAGAGAATCCAATTAAAACGGAGATTGTCTTGTTTATTATTGTTACCTCCAACATATTGGGAAGGTTTTTTCTTGACAACAGAATTTGTTTGTTTTAGGGGTTTAACATTGTGGCACCGAACACATCTCTAATCCTCCCGCAAAGTTGTTGAACTTTTTTTAGTTTTACGAGTTCTATTAATAATATTCTGGAATGGGTTCAATTTTTATGGTCCAGAATAGAATAATTAACAGTTTTCTTTGCTTTATTATACAGTGGGAGAGATTCTTTGCTGTGTGGCATTGAATGCAAATTTTTTGTCAAGACAATGGCGTAGCCAAAATCTTTTCATTGCAGTTATTAATGAAAGGCCACAAAAAAGTTAAGTTAGATATAATAAAATCTGCAACGTGTTTCACGCAATGTACGCATTTCAAAATACAGTGACAAAGTACTAGATACAACTACATTTAAAATTAATCGGAATTTCATTACAGAGTTTCTAAAAAGAATCCTCATGTACCACCTATAAAAAATAGTAGACCTGACATCAGATCCACATACATATATCTACTGTTTACAGATCTGTAGATAGATCTTCAGCTACAGTTAGATCTACAGCTACACGCAGGATTGTACACAATGTAAAATATACCAAGTGAATAAAAAGTATGGAACCAAGTGTTTTTTTCGTAATCTAAGCACTTTACGAAAAAAATAATTAGTGTAGCGTAAAGTACAATGAAAATGTGACCATTTATCGAGTATAACATTTTTCGAAATTTCTTTTAGTTTTCGAGTTCTGGAAAAAAAAAATTTTTAAATGGCAACCCACCATGGTAATTTTTTTAATTAAAGATTATGATCTAAAAATGACCTCTAATTAAACAGAATTGTTTTTTAGTCAGTACAGATCGGAAAATCTTCGTGATGAGCTCGGAACGCAACTTTAACAATTAATTCCAAAAAAAAGTACTGACTAAAAAACAATTTTATTTAATTAGAGGTAATTTTTAGATCATAATCTTTAATTAAAAAAATTACCATGGTGGGTTGCCTTTAAAAAAAAAAATTCCAGAACTCGAAAACTAAAAGAAATTTCGAAAAATGTTATTCTTGATAAATGGTTACATTTTAATTATACTTTACGCTATACTAATTATTTTTTTCGCAATGTGCTTAGTTTACGAAAAAAACCGCTTGGTTCCATACTTTTTATTCACCTGGTATGTAAACAACATCATTATTTACTTAAAAATAAAATCTATAAAAAACATGAATAACGTAATCGTTAGAAAATGTATAATTTCACTTGAAAAAATCAACTGTTCTTCATGGTTCTTCTTGGTAATATTTTTGCTTTTTAAAAAATATTTCTAGTTTCCTTGTCACTCTAACAACTCTAACTATACCTACTTACTTGTTTTAACTTTTTTACACTGTGTTAATTTCGATCACGATGTAGTTTTCGATATTAGGACTGCATAGGTAGGTCTGGTAGGTACATTTCTGCAATTGATTCGTACATAATTTGAAAGATGAAATTTTGAATAAGCAAACCGTGAGATTTTGAACTTCTCAGAGAAAAAAGTGTATTGCATTTTAAACATAATGCAGCTGCAGAATAGTTATTCTTGTTTCTCATCAATTTAAAGCCTAACTGCTTAAAATAACAACTGACTCGCAATTTCGACTTTACTTCTTTCAATTGTTTTTTCTCTCAGCACAGTGAAAATTAATTCTACATTCCGATTTATTCCTCATCTGCACTAGAATGTTTATAAAACTGTCAAATAATTTAATCAATATCTTACTTAACCTCAAAATAATAGTTCTTTACATTGTTTACATATTCTTTACGCGTAAACGTAAAAAATAATACATTACGCGTAAATGCCCAACCCTGGCTACAGGTCTGTACATAAATCTACTGTTTAAGTCTTACAGATAGATCTACAGCAACAGTCCTGTAGAGAGATCTACATACAAGAGACGGATCTACAGCTGCAGGTCTGTAGATAGATCTACAGTTACAGGTCTGTAGGTAGGTCTACAGTTACAGGGCAATAGGTATATCTACAGTTACAGGTCTGTAGATAGATCTACAGTTACAGGTCTTTGGATAGATCTACAGTTACAGTCTGTAGAGAGTTCTACAGTTAGAGGTCTGTAGATAGATCTACAACTACAAGACTGTAGATAGATCTACAGCTACAAGTCTGTAGATAGATCTACAGCTACAGATCTGTGAATAGATCTACAGCTACTGATCTGTGAATAGATCTACAGCTACAGGTCTGTAGATAGATCTACAACTATAGATCTGTAGATAGATCTACAGCTACAGAACTGTAGATAAATCTACAGACAGATCTCCTGGTAAAAGTCTGTACATAGATCTATAGATACAGGTCTTAATAACTTTAATTTACCACAGGTTTTTAGAGTTGTACAAAATAGTATTTGAGGACGTTAAACTATTGTTAGTTAACTTTTATAAAATTCTTTCAAAGTTTAGGTCAAAATAAAATTCGAGGTTATAGAAATAGGTTTTATTTACAATAATCTTAATATAAAAAATATATATAAATACAGAATCGATCAACAGATGCAAAAAATCAAAAAAAAAATAAAAAGTATTCATTGGGAATGTTTAGAAGATATTAAGAAACGTAAAAAGAATTCAACAATATCGAGGTTTTTCGTCCTAAATGATCTCACTAACATCATCTCTTTGCTCCCTAAGAACAGTGTCTAAAGTTTTATAAACATTTTCTGGCAAGTGGTCTAATAACATCCTCGGCATAACTTTAAGTTCCATAAAATCCTCAGCTGTGGCCCATCTCATTTCAAAACTTGGTCCCCCGGTCCCAGCTTTCCTAAAATTATCAAAAATCACAACGTACATATAAAAATATTTACTTATTGCAATGATGCAACTTAACATCGCAATCAATAATTATCCTTGACCTCATTTAAAACAGGTATACACAATTTGCATTACCTTTCAGCTTTGGTCTTTTTCCTACTAACTATGTGCAAAATACGTCCAGCGGTAAACAGGCGAGTTTTGGAAAACCTCCTCACGCAAATGTCACGAGATAAAAGAGCAGCCTCCTGTAATACAAAAAATAAGTTGTGGAAAGTGAGTTGAGGGTGAAATACCGTCGATGCTGCCACTGTGGGAATAGATCGATTCAAAAGTGGTGACCGCCCTGGGGCTGTTGCCATTTCATCCCTCCACGTGGTTTCCAAATCACGTGAGGGAACCCCAAAGAGAGCATATCCGAATCCATTCAACAGAATTCGATACTGCAAAAAACACTAATTGTATAACAATTTGCGCAAAAGCTGTCATTAAATAAATTCACACGTAAGACGTGACGATTGAAATAAACACATTTCGTTTGAAAAGACACAAATTCAACATAAATCTTTATTAAGATGTAAAAAAAAACGGTAATTTTCTCTCTTTTTAATTAGACACGGGGTACTTAAGTCAATTAAAAAACGTTTAAGCTGTAAAAACACGCAAATGTGCTATTATCTCAAAGACTCAATCATCAAAAACGCGTAAACACGGAAATGTACCCAACAATTTAGCACACGTTTACGATTCCAGTTATTAGAATTTAACGCAACTCTCTATTGTTAGCTGTTGACTTATTAGAAAGGTGTAAAGCATTTTCCTCGTTTTGCGCAATGGCAAATCGGAATCTCGACTCACTCACCTTCGGCAACCTACTGGCATGAAGAGTCTGGATGATGCCGGTCCTCAGGTTCTCGATGCTGTCCACTCCTAGACGCATCACGAAGTCGTCGCCGACGCCGACCGTGAAGACGAAGTTTTCTGTCAGTCTTGCAGCATCACGACTCAGGAGGCCGGCTATAAAAATGCTAAATAAATGGGAAAATTCGAAGGAAAATGCACAGGATGACCTCCACCTAGTTACCACATGAACTCCGAATATTATAATAAGTTTCTTCGAATTGGGCAAGGTTTTTTACATATCGATTCGGAGCTTGTGACATTTCGGTCACGCATACACCAACTAGTTTATTTAATAACAAAATCTAAAGAAAAAGTGTTCCGCTTTCCCCATTACTGTCGCCAGCAGTGGAATATTATTAGTTCACACTTTAATTATTATTTCTGCTCATTATCTTCGCCAAGTTCACTTGTAACAAATCCAAGTTGAACAAACAATTTACCTTTTTCAACAACTATAATTGCTTTTACTGATTCATGCGACTTATAATTAAAATATGATACCCCTTATGGGCAATCAAAGAAATAAAACGAAATTAGAATGCCACTTTCGCCCAGGCCTCGAGCAATTCGAATGCAAACAATTTTTATTTAGCAATTTTTTAAATTTTTCACGCAAAATATGATCGAAGAATGTTTGGCTTGTTTACTAATAATACGATTAAATTATTGATTAAGTCATATCCTGTAAATTTTAAAGCAGCTGACGGAACTGCTTCTAATAAGAATTTGTTCCATATCATAACATCAATTCTGAGATGAATTGTGTAATTCATATTTTCTGTTAAATAATTATGTAGTAAGATTAGAGTGCTAAAATAGATCTTTAAGCAATCATTGACCAAAAATCATTAAACATTGCATTGCAAACATAAGATTCTATTAAAAATGTTGTTATCGCAACGTTTAGTGAATGTGCTAAAAAGTTAGATTGCTTTACTTGAATCCTCCTCCTCTAGAGGTTTTTGCAAGAACAGCACAAACTTCAATTTTTTGATCAGAAAAATAAATTAAAGCAATGTAAATTTGCAACATACCTGAAATAAGAAAAATTCAAATTAAATTTTCGTTTAAAAAAGCTCGTCCTTGGCCTTTTGCCGTTGTCTGTTTTATGAAATTTAAGTGGCTTTGAAGAACAGAAAAGGGGAAGTACGGGCAAATATAAAATATTGATTTTGGAAAATAATAAATGTTATTCTTTGTTAAAACAACACAAATACTTGAAATATTCTGAGTAGATAAGAATACAGACTATTTTCAGATAATTTAATTCCTTTTGAAGCATTTCTGAACGAGAATTATTTTGAAATATTATTATCACCTTTTGACCAACCATTGAGTAAGTATCAAATTTGATCAAGGCAATATTTCTACGTTCAAAATTTTTCCACAAAAGAAGTGAATTTGTATAAAAGACTATTCATCAATGCTTTATAAGACATAATTAAAGCGTCGCCAAAATAGTCTAAAACTTCTCTATTTTCGCTCAAAACGGATATGTATTTCTTTCCTCACTTAAAAATAAGTCGATATGAGCAAATTGCATAATTTCTTTAAAATGACTTGCGAAATGTAAAAACATGACGGGTAAATATTGATTTTACTAATAACAGAAATGTTTAAGCTTATGCACACTGAAGTGACGCAAATCAAATCATTTGATTCCTTTGAAAGTATTACTTTAATTTATTGACTTTATACCACCATTTACTTTGTCGATTAAATGAACGTCTTTCAATTCGCTTCAGTCATCTAACTCCAAATGATCACCAAGTTATAAATTACTTTCCTTCTTTTCACCTCTTCTCTTAGACATGGCTTTTCATGAAATAAAACCGATCTTTTAATGCAGTTTCTTTTACTGTGATCGTCGCCAAAGTCATAATAAAAATTTACGGTTTTCAACATTCACAATGGTCACAAATAACAATGAAGGAGAAATCCGTATCGTCAATCAGGATAAAGAAAACGAAAATAACTTGTCATTTTTGCTGCTTTGAGAAAGACTTATAGTCTATGGAATTTTATTGGTTATTTTCTTTGACTAAACTGTTTTCTAAACAAAATTGCTTCGATTAATTTAATACAACTAAAAATCCGTCTGATTTTCTAGGATTCGCATAATTTTACATATGAATAGGAGCGGCCTAAAACTAACCGACCTCTAATCAAATTATTATTAACTTTACATTTTTGTAACTTAATTTTTACACAAAATTGTTAAATAACATTAATGTTTCTTTTTTATATTTTAATTGAATAGATAAAATAGGTATAACTTAACTTAGTTGAGTTGACAATAATTAAAAAACTAAAAAATGTTGCTTCCAATAAGCAACACCAAACTTGAATAATTTAAATATCTTTCCTGATTTAATTTTATTATTTGTTTCAACTAAAGAACTTGTTAAGAGTAATAGCATATCCCTTGAACTCTAAAAAAAACTGTCACTCTCGTCGTTTCCTTTGTATTATGACCGTTCTTTCCATTTTTATTTTCCTTTCATTTTAAATAACTTTCAGCCGCAATTTCATATTTGATAATGAAACCCCACTTTGCATTTCTCACTGGGCACAAAAGCCACCGAAACGTGAATCTTTTATATTCAATTTCGCTTTAATCTCGCCACAAAAAATTTCATAAACTCACCTGGAGTTGAAAAAGCGTACACTTTGAGATCAGGATATTTATGTCTGATTTTGAGAGCGAGAAGGCAAGCAACGCCGGCACCCAGACTGTGGCCTGTCAAAACCAACCCGTATTCGGGATACTTCTCGAGGGCCTTATCCAAAATATTCACTTCTTTGAGTCTCCTCGCCACGTAGCTAGCCCCACACATCATCCCTTTGTGAGCCATGGTGTCCGGGGGAAGACCCTCGGCCTCGAACTTCTCCGAAGTTGCCGTCAAATCGGTGAACATATCGCGGAGGGAAATCGAACCCCGGATCGCTATCACAATATTCGAGGTTTTGTGATCGGCGATCACGCAGAACGGCAACTAAACCAAAACCAAACTAAATTTTGTTCCATTTGTGGTCAAAAAATACATACTTCGAAAACGTGGTTTCTGAAAGAGGCAAACAAGATGTCTTCTTCCCGGATTTTTGACATGTATTTAACTCCTGCTAAATGACACAAACAACAATTATCGTCCGTTACTAAAGTCCTTTTTGGACGAAAACACGAACAACACGTGACTTCTCCCAACAACCGAAACAAACCAGTTCCGCAGTACCTATACATAACAAAAGGCCAACCATAGGCCGCCATAGAGAGTCGCAAGAAATGTCGGGCATTTTCTAGATTCATCCAACGAGGAGCAATTGCGAAAATTCGATTTAAGTCTGCAAGTCAAAATTGTGAACCTTTAAAATTCAAGTTTCACCCAAACCTGTGCTATATTTGGGTTCATCATCAGATAACATTTGTATTCGTCTCATTTCTCGCGTTTCCCGTTTTTGCTTCACCCTGAGAAGCACACAACCGGCTAAAATATCAGAAGGGACAAGATCTGTGCTTCTGAAGAGAGCACTGAGTAGAGCAGCGACTTGTTGAAATGCTTCGTGTCCATGTTCGTCGGATTTCACCCAACAGAAAGCCCATCGGAATCTCCTCTGCCACAAACTGGTGACTTTCCGATGACGGAGAGACTCCCCAGCGCTGGGTGTCTCCTGGACTTCATGGTATCGGCGAGATCCCAGAGGATCAAACACTAGAGCCAGTCCGAAGATCGCTAACCCAAAGAGAGCCCAATTGAAAACGACTAAAGCTGCAAAAAAATCAGTTTTCTCAAAAGTAGCATAATAAACCAAAAGATTTTTGGTAAAATAGTGTTTCAAAATATTAAACTTGACACTGTGACTAACTTATAGCAAATTTTAATCGTTTTCTGGGTCAAATGTACTTGAGCTTTTTATGGTTAAGGGCAAACCTTCAATGACAGTCCTGGAGAAGTGTCCTTCGTAAGGACACACGACTAGGTCCTTGCAAAACGCCCACATCGTCCCGAAAACGTTGAGGACTGTTTCAGGAATGATAAGGAACAGTTTGAGGAGTAAGATTGGAGGGACGAGCTTTCGTGCCTCTTCATCCGTGATTGATCCTTTGGCACTCCGATTGACTAGAGCCACAAGGACGATTATGACGAGACTAAGGAGGGCCATCATGCCAATGATGTAAGTCCGGACGTAATCGCCCCCACGTGTGCATTCCCAAGTGTCTTCGTAGTATTTCACGTGTACGACGACGATCAATATCAGCCTGAAATTCGACATTTGGGACAAAATCAACCTGGCTTAGACACTGACCATAGTGTCCTGATGAAAATTTCGAATAATCCGGGGAAAACCAGGTCGTCCGAGGCGGCTAACCACTTCCTTCCGAACAGGCGAAGAGCGGGCATACCGTGCTCGAGGTCCTGCAATAATTATACGACATAAGAAATCCATTCTGACGATTTGCATATAGCAATCTTTTTACGTCACGAAAGTTTCCGTGAAATTACGAGCAATTTGATATCGAAACGAGAAGTTTTTCCCCATTTTACGTTTGGGTGAGTAGCAATTTCAGGAATGTTGAGATTGACGATATTAATTACACCAACACAAAAAAATTTCATAAAATTCAGCAACTGGGTTTTAGCTACGGAGAACTACTTTAGGTATCCGTAGTTTTAGCAAAAGTTAATTAATGTCTTTTCATGGTAGCAGTTGAATCTAAATGATAAATCGAATTGAAGCACTAGAAGTGGTTCAATTTAAGCTATAATTAAATGTGCTATTCTAAGAATGTGTTGTTTAACCATTATTTAACTTTTTCATTTGATGGTAATTAAGAAATAAACTAGTTTCAAATAGTGTAAAAAAATTTAATGTTAACATCGCCATAACCTGATTATGGAGCCATAGGTAATTGTTAACAGTGTATTATTTATGACAGTTGACACATTAAGATTTTCGATTCATGTTAAAGCTGATTTTTGTAATGATATACAAAACGCTTACCAATTTTAATTTTGTTATAAAATTTAAAATAAAACAAACGACTTAACAACAGTTATTACAAAGCAAAATATTTTTTAACAAATGTAAAAATTTCATTTTGCAAAGTTTGCTAAATGTGGTTTTAAAAACAATAAACTCAAAATCATGATTTTTCGGTTTTGAAAATATACACAGTGATTCAAATGTGATTCAAAGGGCCGAGAGCCGGCCCAATCCTTGCATGGATGCAGATTATTTTCAAACCCTTTTTTTTTTGAGAAAAAACAACTGACAATTTCCATATTATCATTTTTTTTCTATAGCAGATGTTAAACTATTTCTTTATCAACTTTTTTGAGTAGATAAAGTAGCACTTTAACCGCAAAGGTAGATAAAGTAACACTTTAACAGCAAGGATAGATAAAATATTTTAACTTATTTTATTCATTTAAATTTACAAATTTTATTATCCAAGAGATGGAATAAAGCGTCCGATTTACTCAAAGGAGTCGAATATGTCCAACATTTTATTCTTTGAATTAGACTTAAGAAGGCTTAAACTTGGTTTAAATCTGTTGAAAATAATCTGACGTTTCGTATTAAGAAATGCCAAAAATTGTATTTTTTTTTAATCTTATTTTTTCTCTTAAACTTTAAGTCCTGCTATAGAAAAAAATGTTGTATTGTACACGACGATAAAGATTGCTTATCTAATCGTGAAATAAGTCCACTCGTGACTTCGTCACTCGTGAACCTAACCGTTTCACTCGAAGATAAACAATCTCTTTATTGTCTTGTATAATAAATAACTATTATTTCCAAAGTCAAATTTAATTTATTGTTGAATTTGCAAGTTTGTTAAATGTTTTGTACACCATAAGATACAAATTGGTAATTTTTCCGACAGGTATACAGGGTGTGTCGGAACACGCGCCCTAGAGAAAAAAGATAAAATACCAAGAACAGGGGAAAACGTTTACAAAATCTATTTAATGATACTGATGATTATTTAGTAAAGATACAAAAATTTTGATAATAAAAGCCACAAATAATATTAAACATAGTTACAATTTAGGATAGCTTCCTTGTTTCCTCTTCTAATAGCCTGTGGCAAAAAAACTTGGAAAATTATTTTTCCAACAGAAATAAGACAAAGTTCAAAATTTAAACCCTCATAACTTCGAAATTTTTATAGATAATTATTGCCTCTATTGTTTAATATTGCAAGATCTCTTGTTTCCGCTAAATAAATTCAAGAATACAAGATCTGAACGGCCAAAAACTTAACCCAAAATTTAACGTTTGAAAAGCTCGTGAAAAAAGGCTCAAACAATTTTTTGTCATGGAAAGTTTTAACTCCTTCATCACCTAAGATTTGTTTCAAATTATTATTTTTGTAAAATATTCCAAAGGATTTCGAGTCTCAGAAAAAATGTTATTTCATTTTTTTTTTGTTTTAGTCCAACCCAATGTTTTTTAAAGTTGTTATAACAAAAATTTTGGAGTAAAAATTTATTGCGCCTGATTCCGTAAAAAAATTCCTCCAGAATTAATAAAATATTCAAATTATACTCGTAACAGCTCTGGACTTGACAACACCTTTCACACTTCCAACATTTTGTAGAAAAAGAATGTACAAAATGTCCAATAATTAAAAAAAAGACTTCAAGAATGAGAATTGTTTGAAGTGAAGTGTGAAAAGTGTGAAAAGAAGTTTTACTAAAAATTCATAGTTACTACGAAATTCTAAAAACTTTCATGTTAATGCATTCCTCCTGTACTAATATACTTATATAGCAAAATTCTACTCGAAACATAATATGTGTATTAATAAACGAAAACAAGTTATAGACCGCAGAACTACAAACAAATAGGTAGATAACAAACACCACTATTCATCAACTTGAATCAATACCCAGATTAGTTACCACAAGAATTAAATTACATCCTTCACAAAATTAAGTGACTAAATTTTGGAAAACCTACACTAAATCATCGGTTTTACCCATCACAAATTGAGTACGACTCAATAGAATTTACATTTGACATTTCGCTTGAAATTACAAAATTATTTGAAATAGCAGTTTGAGTGAAATTTTTCCGCGTCTTTTGCAACGTCTTTAGTGACCTCTTAGCTATCATCTTCTGAAAACTCAAGGCACACCCCTGTCTCGAGTTCATAAGCCTTCCGCTGCCCCAAGAACAGGTTGACTTGGAAATCCCGTGCTTCCATTGACGCACATGGGGCCACTTTTTGCTCATTTTTTTGTCGGTGTAAAAGCACTTAAAATGAAACAGAAATACGTAAAAATTCACTTGGATCATAATTTAAATTGGTAATACCTAGGAAAAAGGGTTCATACATTTTATTTTTAATTAGTTGTTTGGATGTTTTAACTCACATAGCAAATAATTTAAAGTAATTCTTGAACATAGAAGTGAATAGGAAGAGATGCAATAATGTATACCGTAACTTTCATGTTATTACTTTGTTTTTTTTAATTAATTCGTTCAATTTCCTTAAATTTCAACGTTTGATGCTTCTGTTATTATGTTTCACTTTCGCTTATCAATCGTATGATTCGAATATATGCTTGCGTATTACATCACATACATTCTTTAACTAGAAATAATAATTTAAACTCTCACAGTTGTTGCATTACAAAATCAATTACATTACAATAAAATCCTCGAATAAAATTAGTTAATTATAAGTAAACTACTCCAATGACATAGTGGTTTATTTTCAATTATTTTTAGAACTATCGAACTACCTTCAACTTTTATTACTTTACATTCAAAAAATAAATGTATACACCTACATTTTAAGAATAGTCGTAAAAGCTATCTAAATTTGCTCGTATATAAATCAATGAATGAATTTTATACAATAATTAAATTAATCTTTTCAAGTGTTTATAAAAATTGATCATTTTTCTCGGAAAAATAAGAGTGAAAGGTGTCGATTAAGTGAGCTTTGTGGTTAAATCGTAACCACAATTAACATAAAATCGTAATAAAAGTGTTTTCACCGCTTGTATTTTTTCTAAACCACAATCAGCGGAAATAAACAGGATTTGCCAAATAAATAACAAAATAACATAAAATAAACTAAAATAAAAAATCAATACCTAAATTAAAATAAATTAAAAATCAATGCCTAGTGTCTTTCCTTCTTTATCACTAGAATAATATGCTTTTAGTTGTTGTTTCTCATTTTCAAATAGAAAAAATGCAGATCAAAAACAGCTTACGTCTTTAATTGTAATAAATATGTATTCAGAGTGACCCAGGGGTGCGTGCAAGCTCCATAACTTTTTTTCTATCGAAGCAATAGACTTGAATTTTTTAAAGGTAGTATCGGCAATAAAGCACATTCTAAAAATATTTCTATCCAGATGTCGCGAAATAAGATACACAACTAAGTTGTCGATATAACGCACCCGGTTTTTTTAGATTTATCTGCAATAGTTTTTGACTTAATTATATGTCACACAGAAAAATTCATAACTTCAGAACCATTCAAGAAAACGTAACCAACTTTTTTCCAGTCGATTCCTCAAATTTTAACGCATCTTTTGAGATATAGGCGAACTCGGCGTCGATGTTCCATCACCTATTACATTTTTTTTTTAATGATTGCAACTGACAATAAGTCGACTTTTTCAAATACAATGTATGTTTCATTGCATCATAACATGGCATTTTTTATAAGCTTTTTGTCGATATAGAATTTGTGAAAAGGTATAATTTGTAAAATTTGTGTGATTTTTACAAAATAAGAAATGTTGGCGGTTTTTTCAAAAAAAGAAATCATCGAGTAGGCCGCTGTCGTAATATTGGTTAGAATTCAAAAAAAAAGTTGCTTAGGTTATCTTGAATGGTTCTGAAGTTATAAATTTTTCTGTGAATCTATGAACGCTAGTTTGACACATAAAATGACATAAGTCAAAAACTATTGCAAATAAATCTAAGAAATCGGAGGCGTTATATCGCTACAGTTGGGAGTTTTATTAAATGGAAATATTTTTTGATTGTCGGACCTATCTATTAAAAAAATCAAGTCGATAGCTTGGATATAAAAAAAGTTATGGAGCTTGCACACACCCCTGGGTCACCCTGTATACAGGCTGCGCCAGAACTCGCGCCCCAGAGAAAAATGCCATACAAGGTAAGATACCAGGAACATGGAAAAAATGTTAAAAAAATTTTATCTATAAAAAATTCGAAGTTATGAGGGTTTAAAGTTTGCACTTTGACTTTATTTATTTCTGTTGGAAAAATAATTTTCCAAGTTTTTTTTGCTACAGGAGACAAGGAAGCTGTATCCTAAATTGTAACTCTGTTTAATGTTATTTGTGGCTTTTATTATCAAAATATTTGTACCTTTACTAAATAATTATAAAAAAAATATACTAGATCATCAGTATCATTA